TATTGCAACCGTGAGAAATTTTCTGAGCTAAGATTGGATTAGAGGAATAATTCAATTTCAGCACTTCCAATAAAAAATATTCTGCTAGCTCGACCAATGTTACCTTATTATAATTTAACAAGGTTTTCTGAATATTGAATTGTAACATTTACAAGACATTACAATTCAGCGGCCATTAGACGTTTTTGCAATATCTTATTAACGTTGATTTTACAAATCGTAACATAGGCCTGGAAATACCGTCTGTTAGGAAACAGCGTAAAAATACGTGCGTGCGTGCGTGCGTGCGTGCGTGCGTGCGTGCGTGCGTGCGCGCGCACTATTAGCTCGTGGTCAAACGGGACAGTGGTCAATTGCAACGTGGCCAATCGGGACCGTGGTCACTTGCAACGTGGCCAATCGGGACCGTGGTCAATGGCAACGTGGTCAATCGGGACCGTGGTTAATGGCAACGTGGTCAAACGGGACCGTGTTCAATTGCAACGTGGTCAATCGGGACCGTGGTCAATTGCAACGTGGTCGATCGGGACCGTGGTCAATTGCAACGTGGTCAAGTGAAAAGTCAAGTGAAAATGCTGGTCTGGTCGACGACGACGACGACGACGACCGGGACGACGACAAAGACGTTTCTTAATCCAAAATTTTACAAATCTGACTTTTGCATTGTAATACCTCCACTCCTGGGGCACGTAGGAGAAAAGTAAAAACACTTTTATTATGCAAATCGTACCCAAGCTATCGATTAAGCGCAGTCTCAATTTCGTCGGATCAGCCGTTGTTGAGATCCGAAAATCTGAGCGCCCGTCAACTCGTGTACTCGCGTAAACTTACACGGTCGGTCTCGCACGCGTGTACTAGCTACGCTTACGCTTGGCGCGAGACACTACCGTGTCTCGTGATAACGAAGGAGCAGTGCCGTGGCAAAATGATAGAAGTAAATAAATGTACCTGTGTGTCTTCGTATTTGAAATAGAAAATACATTAATAATTTCAATTAATAATATTATTTCATTAATAATTATTTATTATTATTATTATTTTTATTATTATTTATTTAATTATTTATTTCCTTAATAATTTCAATAATTTCATTTAAATTTTTAATCTTATATTAAAACTATTATATTATAAAACTTATATTAAAACTATTATATTATAGTAACTTATTGCAAGAGTTGAGGTTGAGGTTGAATCAGCCAGGACACGCGTGTGTAATTATTAATACAATTGGAGTATATAAATATATATCTTTTATTGTTCTACGTAATTAACTTAATAATACACATGTTTTCTAGGCACACAACGTATTTTGCTGCGAAAAAATAAATAAACAATTATATTGTATAACAAAAAAATGTTTCGGCCTGTCTCTCTCTCTCTCGCCCGCCGCCCCTTTAAATGCGAAACATGGCAGTGATAATAAAAATCAAATCAGAAGGCTGCGCGTACGTTAGAATTTACAAAACGTGTTTATTTACGCTTTCTTCGCTTTGCGCTATTTATGAGTTGCATCACTTGCACCATAGTATCGTCCATTATATCAGGATCCATTTCTCGTAGCTGAGTAGCAATGAGATTGCCAAATAACTGTGCTTCATCAGTCGGTGATGTTGGTAAAGAAGGTGTAAACGGCGGTATGTTGATTACGGGTGGTTGACCGAGGGCATCTATAAATCGGTCAAACATACTCTCATCATCCACACTAAGGCGACGCTTGTTATTACCTACAGGACCTGTAAATGCCAAAAAGTTCATGTTGACTGGTACATAGTTCGATTCAGTTTTGCATTGGCATTTTAAATGAAATATTGCAATTAAAATTTCTCAATTAAATCAAAATTTCTCAATAAACATTAAGGGCTGATTTTTAAAAGATTAAAATTTTAAAATCTCATGTTAAAAATTGAAATTTCACAAACATTGGTTAATTTTGGTTTTTCATTTTTGAATACCCTTCATAAGAAAATAATAAGTTAACTCACGTGATCCACGACCACTGCTGCTGCTGCCGCCATCAAAACAAATGCTATCACTATTTATACTGTCGTTAGATTCTTCGTGACCTTCGGTCGCCGGGATATTGGTTGTAGTTCTGTAACATACAGTTTCGCATTAAATTTGTATGCAATAAATGTAAATAAAAATGTACTACTGGACTGAGACACGTTGGTACGCTCGTACATTCGTACATATATACGTACTCGGTTTCAGACTGCACATCGCGAAGAAATTGCATTTGCTCAAAATGCACCCAGCTACTTTTTCGCGTCCCCGCTGAGCCACTCGGTTGGTGCTGTTTATTCTTATGGATTCTGTAAGAATCGCACAGCGATTTCCATTTCTTTTTCATTATTGCAATGTCCATTGTACCTAGAAAAGATATAAAAATATGTTCAATGTCACACTAGTGAATTTTATTACAGTTAAGTTATAAATGTAGAATGTAACCGTTCATTGCTGTAAATATTTCCTCCCACAGCTTCTTTTTTGCTTGCAAGCCTCGTTCTGAAAGCGGAAGCTTGAAATTCCACAGCGCAGGACGTTTGCGAATTTCTTCGATGAGCTGTTCCTCTTGTAGAACTTTTTGGTTTTGCCAATTGCTATTGGTCTCTCGGTTTTGGATTTGGGTGGTCTCCATCACGATCACCTCGTTACTGTTCACCAAACTTCTCCGAATAATTTTTCCGTCAGCTGCACATTACAACATCCACTAATGCTACTTGTGTAAGCAAAAAAATATGTAATAAAAAAGTGTCACTAATACTCACCGCTTTGAGGATACATATGTATATAAATTTTTATCAATGTAAACGTTATTGTATCCTTTCATGCAAGGATGATCATTAACTTTATTTATATTACAAATGGTTTCGCACATACCACAGGTGTAGGATTTTAATAGATTTTCCTATTATACAATAAGAAATACTAATTAACACAATGTAACAAATAAATCTATATTATACATAAATAAATAAATAAGAAATAAAAAGCAATCTAACCTATAAGTAACTTGTAACTATACATATAGTATAAAATATATACTAACGTTTGTATTTTCTGGCGCTGTGAAACATTCATCGGTCCCTTCAGCCATATTTATAATTTTTAGCTTTTATTTAATTAGCAACCTAACCCACAAAAAAATTTTCTACGGGACGCACTCACTCACTCACTGTTGTCGGCGTTGAGCGTTGCTTCGCTAATAGTTCGACCATATCGAACTTCGAGCGTGTCTTCGCTCAATGTCGGAAATCGATGAAGTGGGGGTAACCGCTAGCTTTTCTTCGCTTGCATGAAATTGCACCTAGCGTTACCCAGGATGAACGACGTGGACGTGGCGGGGCTTTCATCCCTTTGGGGTGCTTGATTTACGTGAGTCCCCTTGCCTCTCACTTCGGGGTGCTTGTTTAACGTGAGTCCCCTTGCCTCTCGCTTCGGAGTGCTTGTTTAACGGGAGTCCCCTTGCCTTTCACTTCGGGGTGCTTGTTTAACGTGAGTCCCCTTGCCTCTCACTTCGGGGTGCTTGTTTAACGGGAGTCCCCTTGCCTTTCCTCAAAGTGGCCTCCACGTTCTCCAGATTTAACTTCACCAGATTTTTACTTGTGGGGTTATTTGAAAAATGTAGTATACAAAGAAGCTCCGACAACTCGAGAGGATATGAAAAACAAAGTAAAAAGAGCCTGCAATAATATTCCTCGGCGAGTTTTGTTATCTACCATTATAAATTTTCAGAAACGGCTCCGTTTATGTTTACAACAGAATGGTAGTGTATTCGAACATTTATTAAATGGATAAATTAAAAAATTAAC